TGACCACATCAAAATTAAAGATTCTGCTCAAGTGAACAGATGGTATTAGATTGGGAGAAACTACTCCCAATGTAACATTCTGTTATAAAACGGCAGGAATTTCTCATAGTTCTGGAGACTGGGAAGTCCAAGATCAAGTGAACTAGTCTGGTTTCTGATAAGGACTCACTTCCCAGCTCATAGATGGCCAACTTCTGACTGTGTCCTCACGTGGTGAAAGGACCAACATATCTCTCTCGAGTCTCTTTTATAAGGGCACTAATCGCATTCTCTGCCCTCATGATCACTTACCAAAAGCCCCACCTCCCCCATTACCTCGGGGGTTAAGATTTCAACATTTGAATTGAGGGGAGAGGGACATAAACATTCAGTCCATTGAGATATATAGTAAGCACTTACCCCTTCTGAGCCAGGACTAAATTGTAATTCCTTTAAGATAAGCAACAGAATACCCATAAGAAATCTGAATGCTGAATAAGGAAACAGGAGCTAGACCTTTCTAGTAATAAGAGAAAGACAAATCAGAGGAAGGCTTTGTATGAAGCACCCTGACAAAATTAGAAATCTGAACTATACCAAATGCTAAGAAGGATGTGTGGAAATGAGACCCTTGTCACTGGTGGGAGTATATAATGTATATACATTGGTACAAACGTTTGGAAAAAGTAGGAAAGTATAGTGAAACTGCAAATGCGAATACTGTACTCTCTGGGGCATGTACCCAGGAGTAGGACTTGCCTACAGGTAAGCAAGGAGACTCGTGCAAGAATGCCTGTCACGGTGAAGAGCCGACGGCCATCTACGTGTTTACTGAAACACTGTGCAGCAATTAAAAGGAACTGGCCAGAGTTACACAGAGCATCGCTGATGGATGGCAAAGTGCCATACTGAGCAAAACGAAGAATGGATCAAAATGAAATTTATACCAAAAAATCATTCATATACAATTTTAAAACATACAAAATAATGCCATATAATTTCTGTGGATGTTAAGTGTAGAAATAAGCCTGTGGAAGGTGGATTTTCAAGGATCTACTAGAAAAAAAATAAGAACTTAGAATCTTTGGAGAAGATTTGGATCTGAGATAGTAGATGACAGGAGAAAAATAAACAAAAGAAGTACCTTAAATGGTCTGTTTTACCATAAACTCAGACAGATAAACTCAATTCTGCTCACCCGGGATTAGAAACCATCTTTATAAGTCTATATATATGTCTTTTGAGACAGGGTCCCACTCTGTCACCCAGACTGGAGTGAAGTAGAGCAATCACTGTGCACTGCAGCCTTGACCTCCCAGGCTCAAGAGATTCTCCTACCTCAACCTCCTGAGTAGCTGGGAATACAGGTGCACACCACCACACCTGGCTAATATTTTTGTATTTTTTGTAGAAAGAGGGATTTTGCTGTCTCTCCCAGGCTTATAAATCTATCCTTTAACAGAGCAATAAAGCCATAGCAGGTGCTCAATTCATAATTTGATAATTTTTTAATCTGTGCATATTATCCTTCAGATTCTGGGCTTTCTAAGGAATAGATTCTCTCTGAAACCAGTGCCCAGAGCTCAGGGTGATCCCTGCTTTCATGTAAGGTCGTGGAGCAGAATGTCAATCCATCTCTAAAAGACACCACTGATTCAAAGAGGAGAGACTATCTGGTTAGAATCTTTGATTTTACTGAAGAGAAAGCTGAAGGCCTGAGAGGCTCGGGGACCTGCCCAGGTCAGACAAGTCACCTGCTGCATAATCAGAAGAGGACCACAGGCCCTCTAACTCCTTGTCCCCTGCTCCTTCCACCAGGCCATCTGCCATCAGCATTGCTCCTCCTAAGGGGAGCAAGGTCAGCTTTCTGTGAATGCCCACATCTGGCTCTGCAAATTTGGGAAGGGCTGATCTGGCACTTTTGTACTCTGAACGACAACCAGGAAAAGAACAACAGAAAATTTCCCTAAAACACCATCCCATTAAAAACTCACACTCAGCCAGTCTCAAATGTCCGAAATTCTACCTCTGGGAAAGAGGTCTGTCATGTTGCTGTGGGAGCACGATTGTTGAATGGAGCGGTAACCCCCTTTGAGGAACCAGTCCTGATATGGCATTAGCCTTCGGCTTTGTATGTCCCCATTAGCCAGTGGAGTGGCTGACAGGTGAGTAGGAGGTTGTTCCTTCCCAGCTTGAACATGAACCCTTTCTGGGCATTCTCTAAGGGATGCTCCAACCATTCCCCCTTGAGATTCCCCTCTGAGCCCATTTCCCCAGAGTCTGATGCAAAAACACTCCACTGAGTGTGTGAGCATCTGGCTAAGGGTACCCTTTCCTCTGAGTCTATTTGAGGTTCATTTACCAAACTATTAATTTTGTTTTCAATTTTTAAAATCCCTTCCCTCTCAGGCCTCCGGGAAGCTGCTTTCTCGGAATTGTGATGCCCTGAGCGGGCAGCAGAGGGCACCCAGGCCTAACAATCTTTCTGCACAAAGTGTGCAGCCCGGGAAGGGCGGGTTGCAAGTATCCCTCGCAGCTGCACAATCCGAGATGCCTGGGGAGGCTGGGCCGGGCCAGTTCCTCTGTGGTCTGTGGTCAGAGATGGTTGTGTGCGCCGCCACTGTCGCGGGAGACATTTCCATGGAGTTTTCTGCTCTTCCCCAGCTGGGAAAGAGTTTGGGTTTCCAGTTCTCTTCACAAACGAACACCTCTTATTCAGATCTGTCTTCCCTGCCTGCCTTCGGAAAAAAGGGGTTTGTGCTTTCCATTTCACTACTCACTTAGCCCCTCCCAGTCACGCCTTAATTAATCTTGTAACTGCAGCCCCAAGCCTTCTCCTAGTGGAAAGGCATTGTTGATTTATTGCCTGAAGCCTGGAGATCATTTGGCTCCAAGACCCAGCTCTTCCAGAGCCTGAGTCAGATTCTTTGAATTACAGAAGTGGTGGCAAATTGTCATACAGAGAGAGTAGATTTAGTTTTTAGAAATACTCAAATGCCATTCGGCTCCAAATCCCTTGAACAATGCAGGAAATAAAGATGGAAATACCAACGTGCCAGCCTGGGGCCTGGTGTATGCTGGGTTCCAGATTGATGGGCATGGTACGTGAACCTGGACGGTGAGAGTGGTTGAAGTCGTTATAAGTCCTTAGTGTAGACTCATGAGATCATGTATCTTAGGTGGCTTTAAACCAGCTCTAAAGACAAATGTAAAAGGGAACTATCCAAGGAAAGTATCCTTGAAGTAAAACTCCTGAAGGAGCTGTTAGCTTAATGTTGGTTTGTTTATCCAAGTTCCACATTTAGTAAAAAACATCATCCCTTATTATTTTATATTTGTTCTTCATATATAACAATCTCTCAACCTACAAATATTTCATGGGCACAGAATATAAAAAGTTCCCTGAGGGCAGGGTGTGGTGGCTCACGCCTATGATCCTAGCACTTTGGGAGACCGAGATGAGAGTTTAAGACCAGCCTGCCCAACATGCTGAAACCTTGCCTTTACTGAAAATACTGGGCGTGAGTGGTGGTGTCCACCTGTAATCCCAGCTACTCAGGAAGCTGAGGCAGGAGAATTGCTCGAACCCAGGAGGTGGAGGTTGCGGTGAGCCAAGATCATGCCACTGCACTCCAGCCTGGGCTACAGAGTGAGACTCCATCTTAAAAAAAAAAAAAAAAAAAAAGTTCACTGAGGATATAGGTCTTACGGTCTTGGAGTTGAGTGGCACTGGTTCTGCACCTGCCGTGACAGTAGCTGAATGCTGACCACCATGTGTGTCCCAAGACAAGTCGTTGAATCTCTAGAGTCTCAGTTTCTCATCTTTAACATGGTGACCTCAGCAGCTTCTCTACCTACTTCTCCAAGGACAGATTACCACCACAGACCATCATGTGAGTTTTGTGAACTTCAAAGTGCTGTAGATACATTGTTTCTTAGGATACAGTGGTCCTTGTGCTTTCTGCTTTTCTCCATTGTAAGTTCCCTGAAGGCAAAGAATATGCCTCAAGTTCTTGGGCCACTGCCTGCTGTGCCCATGAAAAGTAACTTGGCAGGCATTGGAGACCTCATACCTCCTCTTAACATCCTACGCAGGACTGGTTTTCAGGCTCAGGGCTCCAGTAGGCTCCGGGGCTTGCTGTGGGGACAGACTATTTTCAATGGGCTGCCATCTACTGGGAATGAAACCAGAGGTGCCAATTGCACTAACATGTATTGAATGCCAACTTTGGGCTGGACACTCTGTTCAGAGGCGCTGTGAATATGCAGTTGAATCAGACATGATCTGCCCTTACGGAGTTTACAAGTCAAGTCAATGGTATATACAATCAGTCAATAATGCAATGCGCAGTGCTGAACAGTTTCTATTGGAGACACAGGATAATGATAATGTTCCATAGATGGAGAGATCAGGAAAAACTTCACACAGATGTGGCCCTTGAGCTGGTCTAAAAGGATGAGTAGCACTTGAGTAACTACAGCTGGTGAAGGAGTCATGCCAGGCAGAGAGGAATGTCTGAGCAAAGACATAGACAGCAGGTCATTTAAGAAATAGCTAAATCAGCTGAAGGTATGTGCATGGTACACAAGGAGAGAGCTGGGAACTTTTACTCTGGGGCCTAGCCATGGACAGCCTTGATTGCCCTGCCAAAAAGCTGGGGCTTATGTCAGAGGCGGAACTAAATCAAAACAGCTGATACTTCGGGCAGATGGGCTGGGCCAGGCCATCTAGGCTATTCCAGGGGCAGAAGTGAAAACGATGTTGCTAAGTCTGAGAGACTGGCAACCAAAGAAGGCAAAGTCAAGCTGGTGTATGCCTGGGGCCTGGGTTTTTACTGGTGCAGCTGGTATTGCAAAGCCTCTACAGTCAATGAATACAAACAGAAAAGCTTTATTCTCTTCCAGCCAGACTTCAAACCAGCTCTGTGCTATTCTTGCCTATCAGCAGTACTCAGGCAAAGCCCAGAATATCTCACTTCAGTAGTCACAAAGTCTGAACTAACACAAACTTACTGGTCACTTCTTTCTCTCTGCCTTTACCTTCTTCCCCCTCCTTCCTTTTTGGGGTCTTCCTTCTCTCTCTCTACCAGGGAACTGGGCCCTGGAAGAAGGATGAGAAGAGAGAGAAGTGCTCTTAAGACCGTGGTGCTGTTGATGCCTTCCATGTAGCAAGAACCCACAGGTGGCTCTTCTCAGTGCCTACAGGGAGCCTTCAGGAGGGCCCATGGGGAACTCTGTCCTGCACTGTAACAGCTATGGGCAGCGAAGGTTCTGCTTGACCCCTAGTTCCTGCCCATAGCAGTTCAATCCACAGCCTCTTACTGCGGGGGTCCCCTTGCCTTGAGAGGCCACTCTCTTGGCTTGGTACCTTCAGGATATTCTAAAAACAGTTTTTTTTTTTCCAGGGAATTCATTTGGCTCATAGAAAATGCCACATCCTGGGCAAACCAAGTACACGGAGGAGGGCAGTGGGACGCAGTTCTCTTCCTTTCCTTCCCCACTTATACCTTCACAATGGGCCCCTGTCTTCAGAGGTCTCTGTCAAGAAGAGACATCCATCTTGCTCTACCGGTAGCCCAGGCCCTTCCCAGCACTCCCTCCCCACCCTCTGGGGCAAGGTGGGGCAGTGGGTTTCTGCTGCTGGGCAAGCATGAGCCAGGATGCCAGGCACGAGCCTCCCCATTATGTAGGTGTCCACACCCACTCAATGAGTGGCTCTTTTCTGCTCCCTTCATTTGCCACGGGGATGGGGACCCCTCCCTCTCGTGGTATACCCTGACAGGATAGGGTAAGTAAAGCCACAACTCAGCTCCCCAAGTACTCCTTATTCTGAGGACTTCTCTCCTTAAATTCCAATCTTCTACGAACATAGGCTCCAGAAGAGGAATAAGTCACAGAAGCAGCTCATCTACCTTCATAAGTCTTTAGAACATGAGGGGACCTCGTGGCCTCACCTTGGGGCTTTAGCCAAAGTTAAAAAACAATGGAAAATACTATTTGGTATTTTATTTCATTAGTGATGCTTTGTAGCAGTTTTGCAATCTAAGCACTTTTGATTTGGGGGCAGATAATTCTTTGCTGTGGGCCGTCCTGTGCGTTATAGATGTTTAATAGCATCCCCAGCCTTCACCCATCAGAACTCCCCTAGTCATGACAAATGTCTTCAGATATTGCTAAATGTCCCTGGGGGTGGGGAGGGACACACTTGCACCCTGGTAAGACTGCCCTTTTTTTTTTTTTTTTTTTTTT